GGGGGATCACGCCCACCCTTCAGCGGTAAGGCCAAATTGATCGTTCTATCTCACCGTGAGAGGTTGTTATAGTAGGTCGCCACGTCCGAGTGGTTGGTGCCCAGCATGCGTTCGCCGATGGCCAGCGCCGACCGCTGCAAGGGCTCGGCTTCCGCCAGCTTGTCCTGAAACACACAAATGCAAGCGGAGGGGGGGCGTGGTCTAGATATTGTCGCGGCTGTGGGCTACTGCGATGTGCAGTCGTCGGAACAAACTCGGGGTCGAGCTATTTAATCGCACCCCGGTGAACAAAAGTTCGGGTGTTGAAGCAGAACAAAAGTTTTTTTTTGTCCGCTGCTGCTGTCCGGTACGTCTAGTTTGCTCTCTTGCTTTCTTCGGAACAACAAACACAAGCAACCTGTTTGCTTTTCTGATCACTTTCGTCTTTTCTGTCGCTATTCGAAGCTCGTTTGAAGAATTTTCTCTTCGTAACCAAGGCACTGAACTGCTCAAGGGACGATCCACCACCACCAAAAAAAAAATTAAAAAAAAAAAACACACACACACACAAAATTGGCAGGCAGCTACATCGCAAACCAATTTGGAACGACAAGAACGGGTGTCGAAATGAGGGAGACACAATAAAAAATGGGACAACGCACCACGAACACTTAACGCGGACACCTGCTCGGAACGACCAGAACAACAAGACGAGAAAAGGTGTGAGAGGTCAGTCAAGACCACAAAGAAGACACGCTACACGAAGTGAAGAGATCGGAAGGAAGGCTAGGTTAGGTTGGTTTGCGCACCTGTGCCTTGAGCACCCTAGCGAGGTTGTTGAGGTACGTGGCCACGTCGGCGTGCTCCGGGCCGTACACCTTGCCGGCGATGTCCAGGGCCCTGCGGCGGAAGGAATTAGGGCGGGACATCGACCGTTCCATGAACAAAAAAAAAAAAGAGGAAATCAATTCATTGCTAGTCTACTCCGGCCTCCGGCTTCATATTTGAAGAGGAGATGCAATTGATGTCTGCCGTGTTATTGGTAATACGCAAAAAAACAAAAATGTGTTTTTCAAGAAAATCAAAAAATGGGGGCCAACCGCACCTACATCCGAGAGTAGCATACCTTGAGAACAACACCAGAGAAAGAGAGAGACGGACATTTCAGCAGCCAGCCGACGAACAAACACACACACACACACACACACCCTCTGAAGGACGATGACCAGCTTTTGCGGTTCATCCTTGTGAAACGTCGCCTGGGCCGGCGAAAGCGCGGCAATTATCGCTCGCTCCCGGCATCGCAGGGACGCAAGGTCAATGGTCTAACAACTACGGCACGAGTCTCTCCATCGCTCTCACTGTCTGTGGAGGCCCTCCGCCTCCGCCACCCTCCCGTCAGAAGCTAGCAGCAGCGCCAGGCTGTTGAGCCGCGTGGCCACCTCCGGGTGCTCTGCCCCCTGCGACTCGATGCTCATCTGCTCGGAAAGGAAAACACAACACCATCTTTACCGTTACAGCAGCAGTGGGCCCTCAACAACGACGTTATGTGCCCGGCGAATCCACCGGCGCTACTCAAAGTACAGGATGACTTGGCGCTCCAGCCTGTGCCCATCAATTTCACCGGCGCAACACAGGGCCACCGGCGACATCCAACAAACCCGGCGTTGCTGACGCCCCCTCGCACTGCACTGCAATTTAGTACTTTATTTTCAGCAAAGCTTCCGCGGGACTAGCGGTGACGGTAGCAGCCTTTGCGAGGAAATGTTTTAGTAGGGGTACAGTGGGGTTGGGATCAGGGAAACGAAGCCCCCCTCTCTATTTCATAGATACAAAATAAAACCCTCGCGGGGGGGGGGGGGNCGGGCGGGGGGTCACGTCAGCTGACACTGCCGCCACCCACCTGGGGCACTAATCTGCTCCACAATGCCTTCACGATACTTAAGCTTCGGCGGGGCCGGCGGCTATGAGGGGAGGAGAGGATGTTGTCACGTTGTGCATGCCTCAACTGTTGGCCAATTCATCACGCGTCCTCGACAAGACGGAGCAATGTTCCCACAGGACCGATACCGATGACAAATGTTTCGTGCTGCTTCGCGAAAGCTGGTTCGCAACAATTTCCCCATCCTATCTAGCTGGCGACGATCGTGGTGGAAACGGCGGGGGGGGGGGGGGGGGGGGG